TTCTCTCCTCTGTGTATTTTTAAAAATGATTTTCTTCTTCTTTTTTAACCTTTTTTTCTTTCTTCCTATTCAACATCACTATCCACCACTGCTTATCCTGTTCTGTCCCCCCTTCCTCCAAATAAAGAGCTCTTCTTTGTAATAAGTCAGCATAGTCCTACAAAGCATTCACACAATGGTCATTTCTGAAAATTCATGTCATCTTCTTCACCTGTGGTCTGTTGCCCCTCTGCTAAGAGATGGGAAGCTTCATCAGTTTCCTGGAGCCATGATGGGTTGCATTGATTGCAAGTTTTTAAGTCTTTTACAGTTGTTTTCCTTTACAATGTTGTTCTCCTTGTGTAAATTATTATTTTGGTTCTGCTTACTTCAATCTATATCAGTTCATATAAATAAATCCTCTAAAATTTCTCTGGAGCCCATACTTTTAATATTTTTATAGCATACTAATATTCCATTCCATTTATATACCATAATTTATTCAGCCATTCCCAATTGAAAGGCACCACCTAAGTTTCCTGTCCTTTGTTAAAGCAAAAAAGTATTTTTGACTCTTTTTTTAAAGCAAGTTAGTGCATGTGAGGTGGCATTTTGTCTACAGGTTGGCTAATGTGTAATGAATTTTTTGGCCACTACTACTCTAGATGTCTGTTTACTATGTTTCAGAGAGCTTGCTTGAATTCAGCATTTGTAGAAGGTGTTCCAAACTTGGGAAGCTAGAGGTCTTGAATATTGAAGGAGGTCATGTATTAGAGTTGTTTTAATTTGCATTTCTCTAATAATGAACAAATGAAACTTTTTTTTTGGTGGTGATTTTGAGAATTTTATTTTTTTTCCTTTATGAACTGTCTAATCATATCTTTTGATGATTTATTTGTTAGGAAATAAATCTTTTATAAATATCTGCCTTATAGAATTTGGTCATTTGATTTTTCTCTTTCATTTTAATTAAATTTACTGCCTATCAGGAGGAAATATTGATCTTTTAAAAATAGCTCTTGATTTTCTTTATCATTTCAATGTTTCTTTTATTGTCGTCCCCCCCCCCGCTTTTCCTTTTTAAAGTGTTATTCTTACTTGCTCCTGTTACAATAATGTTGTGGGCAGCTAGGTGGCACAGTGGATAGTGTCAGACCTGAAGCCAGGACAACTTATCTTCCTGAGTTCAAATGTGGCCTTAGCTGTGTGACCCTGGGCAAGTCACTTAATCCTGTTTCCTCATCTGTACAACAAGCTGCATAAGGAAATGGCAAATCACCCCAGTTCTTTGCCAAGAAAACCTCAAATGGGGTCACAAAGAAATGTATACAACTGAACAATATTGTTAATTTTTCTAATTTCATTATCTCCAAACTTGGCTCATTAAACTCTCTCTTTTTCTCTTATGTTAATATATTTTTTCAAGGATATAAATTTTCCTCTGAGTACTGCTTTGGCTGTATCTCATAAACTTTGATATGTTGTATTTATACTGTTGTAGAAGAGGTAAGTTCATTGGTGAAGGAAGTACAAAGCAGAAAGAAATGCCTTATTCTTGTTCCAACATGAGTGAAAACATTCACAAATTGACTCCATGGAAATATTGACTTTTGGCATTGCAAGGGTGGGGAACCTGTAGTCTCAAGGCCACATGTGGCCCTCTAGGTCCTCAAGTGCAGCCCTTTCCTTGAAACCACAGGTTCCCCACCCCTGGATTAGGTAACTGGGTAAATAGAGTTGAAGATTAAATTAAGATTATCTTTCTATCTCAATTTGAATATGAGTGCTATACAAAGTTAACTAGGGATTTGACTTTTCACGCTTTAATTCCTGATATGTTAGCTTGCAGTATATATTTTTCTAGGGCATTTGTTTCTTTGAATTCCCGAGCCTTCAGAAGTCACGAGTGTAGACCTAGATGAAGTTCTTTCATTAGCTACTTTCGTTGTTACAAACCACAAATACAAGAATTGTCAGCAGGCTTTTTCTAACTCTTCACTTTCATCTCTCAAACTCTCAGCAAAATATAAAAGTCCCATGTTGGAGGCTCCTATCCCACAATCCACTGCCCCAGCATGGGCTAATGAGGACAGCTAATTAGCCATCTTGATTATAAAGCCAAAGGCTTTATTAGGAGGAATACATTTAGTTACTGCTCAATCCCGTTTTCTAACCAGAGGCAGGAAAATGCTCTGGGAAGTTTTGTAAAGTTGAAGCAGAGAAGCTGTGAATTTCACCTCCATTTCAGGCAGGGCCAAAGGATAGAAACATTGGCCTGTGATTTTTGACTTCCATACGCAGTTTTCTTAGACTTGACCTAGTTTGAGACCAATTCCTTGCATACCACCCATACCACTCAAGATTGTATTAGGAGAAATTGTTTCTGCCCCTTAAAGAGTTGTCTTTCTCCATGCCTTTGATATGTTGAAATTTTAAATGCTGGAGAAATAGCAGGCGTTAGACCACATTGGCTGCTGTTTCCATGGTAACATGTTGAGTTTCTCTCAATTAAAACTACTCCTGTGGCCTGCTCCAAGAGTAAGTATTCAGAGGAGATTGTTAAAAAGGGACAAATTGTGGAGGGGAAAAAACTATCCTGAAACTTACTGACTACTGAGAACTGACTCTTCTTCTGTAATGTTTTGATGGCTTATCTGAGTGTGGTACAAGGTAGACGTATTTGGTTCGCCCAGATAACTGTTTCCACTCTCCACTAGACTTTAATTTGAAAGGCACAGGCTGTGGAGCAGTCCTTAGGAATTATCTGAACTTGGAACCTGCCTTCGTGAGTCATAAAAGGAAAATCTCCCAAGTGGGGAAGTCACTAGTGAAAAGAATCAGAAAATGTAGCTTTGGGCTGCATCTTTGCCAACGAAGTGGCCTTGGGACACTTGGCCTCTGACGGTTATTTGAAGATAGGGACAGTAAGACCTGCCCAACATGCCCCACTGGATCTGAGGGAGGATCAGATGTGTAAGTGCAATCATTTTATAGCCTGCAATGTCCTGTGCAAGACATTAGAAGGCATTTTGTAACCTGTAATGTGCGGTACAAAACATTATAAAATCTCTTGTTGTTCTTCAAGTTGTTTTTAGGCATGCCTGACTCTTTGTGACTCCGTTTGAGGTTTTCTTGGCAAGGATACTGGAGTGGTGTGCCATTTCCTTCTCCAGTTCGTTTTACAGATGAGGAAACTGAGGCAAATAGGGTGAAGTGACTTGCCCAGGGTCACTCAGCTAGTAAGTGTCTGAAGCTGGATTTGAACTCAGGTCTTCTTGACTCCAGTCCCAGTGTTCTATTCACTGTACCGCCTAGACGCCCAGTATGAAATCTTAGAGGTCACCAAGTCCAATTTTCAACCCAATGCAGGAATCCCTCCAACAATGTCCCTGGTAACTGGTCATCCAGGCACTGCCTTAATACTTCCAGTGATGGAGAGTTCATTCCTTACTGAGGCAGCTTGTTTCATTGTTGCATAGCCTTAACTATTAGAGGCCTGGAGTCAGGAAGACTTATCTTCCTGCATTCAAGCGTGGCCTCAGACACTTACTAGCTGTGTGACCCTGGGCAAGTCACTTCACCCTGTTTGCCTCAGTTCCTCGTCTGTAAGATGAGCTAGAGAAGGAAATGGCAAACCACTGCAGTATCTTTTCGAAGAAAACCCCAAATGGGGTTGTAAAGAGTTGGACACGATGGAACAACAATTATTAGACAATTGTATTTATGTCCCATTCCCAAGAAAGCCTTCATTGAGCCTTCTTCTCTGGTTAGTGTCTGCCAGTCCTAGGGGCAGTGTCTGACTGGGCAGCATGAAGTCTCCTTTGTTCTATAAGACAGTTCAGTTTGATTCAGTTTAATTCAACTAGCATTTTTTTTTTGAAGGTATGTTCTGTAAAAGAAACTATGCTATATAAAACCTGGGGATTCAAAAATGAAACCTAGTTGCAGCCCTCAAGGACCTTACATTTTATTAAGCATACAGCCTGTGACCATAGATTTAGAGCTGGAAGAGACCTTAGAAGACATTGATTATAATCCTTACATTTTACACAATTGGAAACTGAGGCACAAGAGCATTAATTGGTTCACCCTCGGTCACATAGCTACTAAGTGTCAGAGGCAGGCTAAGAAAAGACATGGTAATTTGAAAATGGAGAGAATGCTGACATCTAGGTGGATCAGGAAAAACTTCAGAAAGGTGGTAGGTACATGAACTAATCTTTGAAGGAAGCTAAGAGATGGAGGTAAGGAGAATTGTGTTGCAGACAGACCTGGGGACTACATGTGCAAACACATGGTTGCCAGAGATGGAATGTCCAGTTTTGGGACACAGCAAGCAGGCCAATCTTTTTTTTTTTTTTTTTCCTTTTTGAGGCAATTAGGGTTAAATAACTTGCCCAGGGTCACGCAGCTAGTGAGTGTCTGAGGCTGGATTTGAACTCAGGTCCTCCTGACTCCAGGGCTGGTGCTCTATCCACTGCTCTACCTCGCTGTCACAGTAGGCCACTCTTGATCTCTCTAGTGTTTCATGACACTTCTCCCTCTTTGTTCTTTGTATTAATAACTTTCATTTTACTTATTGATCTGGGTTGTTTTGAAAATACTCTTTAAAAAAACCACCATGATAGAATAATTTTACACACACATACATACACATATACAAACACACACACATACATATATATATGCATAATACATACACATACCTATTTATGTCCAATGGTTGTCATCTCTAGGGTGGGGTGAGGGAAAGGAAGAAAAAAAAAGGAAAAATAAATTTACATGATAACTTTGGTATATATTTGGAGAGAATAGCAAGTTGTACGTGGTAGATTTGCAGTTTCACATGCAATCATCATTTTTATTGTACTGTGTTATAGAAATGCTTGTTTTGTTCCTTGAATTGAAAAAAAATAAATGAAAAACAAAACAAAAACACCGTGGAATCAATAACACACAAAACCAGAATTCAAAAGTTTATCTCAAGAGTATTTTTGTTTGTGTTTCCTTTTCCCTCTTAGGGAGTACTGTCGAATATCTCTTCAATCACAGACTTGGGAGGTTTTGATCCTGTCTGGCTGTTCCTGGTTGTGGGGGGAGTTATGTTCATTTTAGGATTTGCAGGATGTATTGGAGCTCTTCGAGAAAACACTTTCCTTCTCAAGTTTGTAAGTATCCAGCTTCTTTGATCTTCAGTCTTGTGTTTGTGGAGCAGAGGATATAGTGTGGGAAAGACTCTTGCAAACATTTGACCATGGTGATCCCTTTCACTATGAAATTGAAATAAAAGGAAAATTGCCTTTGTGTTCCTTTCTATTAGAGTGGATTTCAGTATTTATAAACTCACTATCGAGTAATTGTTCCCGTTTTCAATTAATTTAAGAGTACCTCAGGACAAAGGCATTAAACGTGGTGACCCACAACACTCTTGAGGGTGGCCAAAACCAAAATAAAATGTAGTTCCTCAAAATCTTATAAAAATGAGTGCTAAAAATTGTCTTTACATATAATTGGGAGAAAAATAAAATACTATTAAAATGGAGTCCCTATCTAAGTTTAATATGTTATGTATTAATAAAAAAGAAATAGATAAATACGTGATTTTCTAAGTTAATGTGCATCCTTCAAGGATTCTCATGTATGGGTTAATGGCCCCTGTTTCTATTTGAGTTTGACACCACCGCCTTAGGAGAGGCTTTGAACATGGCAAAGCATTATGGGAGCTGCTGTTTATTTTATGATTTAAAAAAAAAAAAAAGCACCTGGTACGGATAGTTCCAGATGAGCAATTTCTTCAAAGGTAGCACTTAAATGTCTAAGTTGGCATGTTATCCCTTGGCATTCTAGTAGCAGATGAGTGAATTTGTATAAGGTGATTAAAAAAAAAAAGGTGTTGCTAATGCAAACAGCCTTGCAGCTGTATAGGTATCATCAAAATGAGAGAATTAAATCAGGATGACAAGAGCCATTGCTGTAATCCACTGGGATCCCTGCAAAAGCTAGGGGCAACCTGTTTCTTGTGCCCGTGGGGGGTAGAGGAAGCAAAGCAATGGATTTGTAGTCAGGGGACTTGGAGGACCAATCCCGGAGCTGTCACTGTCTGTGTGACCTAGGGCAAACCACCACTTTAACCACTTTGGGCCTCAGTTTATTCGTCTGTGGAAAGAGAGAGTCCCTTCTAGCTTTAAAACCAACCCTAGACTTGTAAGAAAGAGTAAGTCAGGAGTTATTTCTGCTCATTAAAGACAATCCTGACTCAAACACTTGCACACACCTAGATGTGAAATCAAAGAATAGTTTTATTTAGTGATTTTCTTTCTGACCTTTGAGTATAAAAACTAATTATAAATTCTACATTATTTGAATGAATGTGAATTTATCTGTGGTTCACTTGATGGACAAGTAGCCATTTTTGACAGAGGATGAATGTTGCCTGAGAAACCAGAAACTAATGTTATAACAATATCCCCAAATTAAATCTCCCTCTCCCCCCCAAAATGAGCTCTTAATTGTGCATGTTTTAGAGTAAATCAAATTAATATCCTCAGTCTAGTGCAGGGGTGAGGAACCTGCGGCCTTGAGGCCACATGTGGTTCTCAATCCAAAACTTCACAGAACAAATCCCCTTAATAAAAGGATTTGTTCTGTAAACTTGGACTCAAAAGGCTGCACTTGGATACTAAAACATTCCCTTCCTTGCCAAAAATGAGTGGAGCAAACATGATAGAGAAGGTTATTCTATACTGCAAAGGAACACAAACCAAACATAGAGGGATAGGGAAAAGTCCTGAAAATGATTAGAGAGATCTGGGGCATGCAATTCACTAGGTAAGCAAGATAGCCTTTGATCTCAAATTTTTGTTATCAATTAGAAATGGCCTGGTAAGAGACTGGTGAGAAATATAGGCAAGAAAAAATGATGCCCAGCTCCTGATAGACCAACCAACCAGCAAGCATTTATTAAGTACCTACTACATGCTTAGCACTGAGGATAGAAGGACAAAAACAGATTCAAAATAGAGATATAATAAATACAGCAGAGAGAAATTTGTGTTAAAATTGATTGTCCGAAATAGAAAGGAAACCGAGGACAAAGTTACCGAGTCATCTGTGATTTAATCTGCAAAAGCTGAGATTTACATGTCAAACCAGGTCGCCTGACTCCTCAGAGGTCAGAGACAAGGACTGATTTACAGAGATGGTTTTTAAAACAAAAAAAGAGGAATTGGAAAAATGACAAATTTGTTTTGAACAGAATTCAGTTGGACAAGATAGGTCACCTGACTTCTCCAAAGACTTTCTTAATCCTATGCCAGACATCCTTTCTTCCAGGTGATACCTTTTATAACCAGAAAGTGGACTGGGAAAGAAGAACTTTTAGTGGTCAGTGGTTAGCAGTCACCCCCCTTCTGCCTTAGCAGAATCCATTATTCTACTTAGACTTTAGCTCGAGAAAAAAAGGGAGGAGGCGGGGCTTAACCACTAAGACTGGAAAATATAACAGCCTTTGGCTAACCTTTCTCCAGCTGCCAGAAAGGGGAACTTAGCCTCTGGTCAATCCCACTTTCTGCTAGAAAGGGAAATTTGGCGTTTTGAAAAACCTTATAATCTTATGATTATTTCATTCTTCTAAATTATCTGCTACTGAATGATAAAGTCTTCTGCATCTAGCTGTTCATTAAATCTATAGGTAACCTAGACTTAAGTGACTATTCATGTTAGTCTGGCTTAGTTTAGGGCTAGTTCTTCCTAAAGAAGGGAGTTTGATCTATAATCAAACTAAAGAGAAATTAAGGTAATCGAAACAGTTGATTTCTTTTTCATATGCATAAAGGTGGTGACTATGAAATAAAGAGAAATTATTCTATGTTCTATCCAAAAGTATAATTATGTGTTTAGCTTTTTTCCCCCCTTAGCCTTCTTTTTCTTCATGCCCAACGTTGGGGATATTACCTGGAGTAAAGTTTCCAGTAACCATTAATACTGTAGGAGCAAAGACGTCTTTATATTTCATTGAGATGTGTAACGATTTGAAAGGACTTGTGCCACCAATAAGTATGTCTATGGTATCTTGCTGCCCGTTGACTGAAGCAGTCATGGTATGTCCAGGCACCTGGGTCTCTAAAGCTCTATTCTTAGGAATCCAGACAATAGTCCAGGCACTTAGGAACCTGGAGTGGGGGTGAGTCTTTAGAAAGTCGGGATTTCTAGAAGGTGGTGCTGGATCTGCACTCCTGGGCTGTCTTTTTTAGACCTGAAGGTGCTATGGCTTATGACATACCACATATGGAACATAGTTGGGTAGAGACTGATACTAAATGGGTGTAACATCCACCTAAGTCAAGGGTTCTTACTCTTTTTGTGTGTCATGATCCCCTTTGGCAGTCTGGTCAACCCTATGGACCCCTTCTCCAAGTAATATTGGAATAATGGAAGTTAGAGGCTTATGAAAATCAAGATGTCATTTTACCCCATTCATCATGGAGCCCCTGAAATCTATCAACAAACCCTATGGGCCCCAGGTTAAGAACCCCTGACTTATAGTCACATGAAGAATTACTATATTTATCACACACTTTCCCCTTTCTCAATTTTGTGGAGTAAATGGATGGTTTTCTCTCCCCACCACATCTTGTTGATTCTGTTTGCTGTAAATAAAAGGATAGCTCTTAAGTGTTACTTATGTTTCTTTAAGTTGGCTTTTCCAAGCCTGCTAATTGGTTGGGGGTGCAGTGGTCGAGACCCCACCTGGGCTTGCCTGTCCCTGTTGTTAGAATGGTTGACCTGTGTAATTATACTTCAGTTCCCATTTCCTGTTTCAATAGCTTCAGACCTGCTTAGAGAAGAGGGATGGATGGGTGAGAAGTCCAAAGAAAAGAGGTGGGTGGCTTAGTACAAGATGTGCCACGTACCTTTGGAATTTTCCTCTCAGAAATCATGCAAATTTTCCACTAGGTCCATGGTTTTGAACCTGCTCTCCTACAGAGACTGTAGTCAAAATATACCTAATACTTGCTTTTACTTTACAAAGGCACCTTCTGACTTTAGAATTTAGAAATGATTCTGTTTTGGAAAAGGATGTTAGAAATGTGGCCGGGGGCAAGGCTGTCCCCAAAGGGGAGCCGCAAAGGAACTAAAGCTCCTCAGGTGACCAGGAGGGGTGGGTGGCGGTTTGTGTCACTTTGCTTTTCCTAATGCGGGAAGATTATTTTAATGCCATGCTCCCCCTCACCACCTCTCAGGCTGCGTCATTTTCCTCAGATGAACCCACCTGCTATTTCATCCTGTGCAGCAGGTGCAAGGGGAGGATTAAAAATACATCGGAATCCTCTAAAGGAATATGGAATCCTGACCACCCTTCCAGATGGCAGGAAAACTCCAATATTATGATATTCTCTATTCTTTTTAATATGAGCAGAATGTCTTAGAGGTAAGGAATTGGTCATTATTAAAAGCTCCTGGCAGAAACATCAGTCATGTGAAATGCATTTGGACTTAATTTGGGTATAATGAGTCATTCTTGTTTGCTTATGGGCTTTGCTTAATTACTGACTGAAACACCAGTGCACCTAAAATGTGATTCTGGAATTTTTTTTAATCTTTGCTGAAATGTAATTTTGTATTAATAAATCTCAAGAAACTGATGATCATCTGCTTTAGTGCTGAGTAACATTCTGATATAATGACAAGACTTAAAAAGAGGTAAGAAAGACCCTTTTATTCAAATATGGTGAAAATAGCCGTCATAACCATTCTCTGTGTGTTTTTTGTTTTAGTTTTCTGTCTTCCTGGGAATTATTTTCTTCCTGGAGCTCACTGCTGGAGTTTTGGCATTTGTTTTCAAAGACTGGATCAAAGACCAGCTGTATTTCTTTATAAACAACAACATTAGAGCTTATCGGGATGACATCGATTTACAAAATCTCATAGACTTTACCCAGGAATATGTAAGTTGGAATCCTGTTTCTTTTCAACTCAAGCACCTGTTTGAATGGAGGTGTCTACATAATTGCTTTCTCCCCTGCTTTTTGCGTTGGCCAACAAAGACGTGCCTTCAACGGCCTGGGGTTCTCCTTGTCTTCTCACTTGCCTTTCAGAGGTCTCCAGTAGAATTCTGTGTCGGATGCTTTTTTGTTTGATGTGAAGAGGAAGAAGGTGGGGGAGCTGTATGGAGGCGTGCCTGTAACTAGCTGGTCTTTTTCTATTAGCAGTGAATGACAATCAGCTGCTTGTATTTTTTTAAAGTTCCACCTGGTATCTAAAAATAACTTGTTTTTAACACCTGCTTCCCCTATGCCTCAGCCCATAATTACGCTGTTATATAATTGGAAAGCATTCTGGCTTTGAAGTCAGAGGACCTGGGTTCCAATCCTGGTCTCTACCTTTTTGCTATCTATGCAACTAGCCACGCAAGAGACTTTGGGAGGTCACTTTAACCTTTTTATGTCTTTTGTTATTTTGTCTGTAAAATGAGGCCCTATCTAAAACATAGGGATGTTGTGAGGTTTAACTAAAAGAGAAATGTAGATGACATATTATCTTGCAATATGGTAATAACTTATACGTAATGAAAGATCTGTTGGCATTTGAATAGACCTCTCTCTGTATAAACCATCTGAAACATTTGATCTTGGGCTGTAGACTAATGTCCATTCACTTGTTTTTTGAATACGGTCCTGGGTAGACACCATGGTGTAGTGAGGAGGGAGTCAGGATTCCCTCTTCCTATTGTGACCATTATCTCTTATTCTGGGTCTCCATTACTTCATCAAATGAGATAATATTTGTAAAAAGTGCTTAGCATAGTGCCTGGTACACAGTAGGCGCTACATAAATGCTTCTTCCCTCCCCTCCCTTCTCTCAGACAATGGACGGGTTGATCGACTGAACCTGTAATGCCCTTTCAAGCTTCATGGTTATCAGTAGCGTCTGCTATAACTTCTCTGTGGGTGGCCAAGCCTTAGTTGTGTACCAAAGCTTTCTCTTTCCCATCATCAGATTCCAAAGTTCCCTTTAACTGACTTAGCCTTCCAATTTAAAGTCAATGCTATTTGTAGCTGGATTGCGTGACTGATACAGTGGAGTTCTGTCATCTCCATGATTTGTCCTGATTCGTGTTATCCAGAAGAACCCTTCCCAGTGATCAAGTATGGGTTGCCTTGGCATGACCAACACACCTCTTTGAAATGTTGTTTGCGTTTGGTGAAAATTACATTCTACATGTTTGGCTTGGTTTTGTCTTTTTCCAACCAGGCCGTAAGAGCCACGTGGAGCTGAATGCTTCCAGACGGCTCTGGTCCTGAAAACCTTAGAGCAATCAAATTGTCCTATTGGCTTCCAGGAAGGGTGCAGGCAGTGCTCCTCCCTGAATGATGAAGACAGGCTGTGGGCCAGACACGTTCCTTCCTCCCACACCCAACAGATACAGGCTCCATTTCCAACTGCTCTAAATTAAACCAACCCTGTTAGAAATGTGCCTCCTGGTTCCTTCTTTGCCGTGATGTCACTCTCCATCCTTTAGCAGCTGTAAACCAGTGAACTAATTTTACGAGTAGGGTTTTGAATTCCTTTGGAGGTTTTTTTGATGTGCCGTATAGGTTCTGTTTGACTTGCAAGGGCATTCTGGGGGAGGCAGGAGCGCTGGCAGCTGGCTGGAGCAGAATGTTGTTTCGGTGAAGATGAACGCGAGCAGGGTGATCATCGATGAGTGAAGAGGTTCTAATTTTCTCCTCTTTACTCTAGTGGCAGTGCTGTGGGGCTTTTGGAGCAGATGACTGGAACCTAAATATTTACTTCAATTGCACAGATTCCAATGCAAGTCGAGAACGATGCGGCGTACCGTTTTCGTGTTGTACGAAAGATCCTGCAGTAAGTGAATGAGCAAAGCCCACTTTATCCAAAGGGGGTGGGGTAGGGGTTGAGGGGTTCACGAATCTCTTCTGGCTTGGGCCTCTTGTCCCTCTCTTCCTTGAAGGCAAAACTCGCCTCGTCCCCCCTGGTTCTTCAATTCAGTTCAACTCAGTATATGCTCGTTGAGCACCTACTACATTCAGTGAACCATCCTTGGTCTCTGGGAGATCCAAAGAAGAATCAGAAAGGGCTGTGCCCTCAAAGAGCTTACTGTTTAATGTGGGGGGAGGGGACAAGTGCACAAATAACTAAAATACATGGCAGAATGTGCTAGGTGCTAGGAGAGGGGATCCAAAAGGTGAAATCACATCCAGTTTGAGGGATCAAGGAAGGCTTCTTAAGAGGATGGGCCTCTGTGATTCATTTATGGTGTGTGTGTATGTATATGTATATATACATATGTATATATATATATGTGTATATATGTGTGTGTGTGTGTGTGTGTGTGTGTGTATATATATGTATAGGCAGTCAGTTGGTACAGAGCATAGGACTTGGAGTCAAAAAGACCTGAGTTCAAAATCTACCTTAGACTTATACTAGCTATGTAACTCTGGGAAATCACTTAATCTCTCCCAGCCTCATTTTTTTATCTGTAAAATGAGGATAATAATAGCACCTACCAGTTGTGAGGCTCAACTGAGTACACTCACACCCACCCATACACCCATACACCCACACACCCAGCTTTGCAAACTATAAATGCCCATTGCTTTTACGTTCAGATGTGGCTGGTATCTGTTGCTCTTTCTTTCCCCAAGATGGTGATAAAAGTAGTAGTAGATGGGGTAGTGAGAGAAGTGATTGTATGTGTTGATTGGAAGATGGACAGGTCACTCTTCTGGGCAGTTATGGCCTTAGAGAATGCCAATTTTCATTCTATAAATATACAATAAGATTCTCTTATGAGACGCTTTCCTTTTATTGAAGGTTTTGGACCCTGGGCTCACCGTGCCATGACATGCAGTTTTCCTCATTTTCTTATTATCACAAGGATTCTCTTTTGTCCCCGATGTCTGGTGAAACCACATACAGCAGGGGTGTTTCTTGCTGTGGTGCCCTTTCCCTGTTTCCCATGGATTTTTATCCCTTGCCTTGATTAATTCACAGAATTATGGTTTTTAGAGTCGGAAGGTGGTGTAGTCTAATTGATACTCGAATCAGAATCTCTGATTTGATATAATGTAATAAGTGATCACCTGGCTTGGGCTTTAGCCTTCTAAATAAGGGAGACCCACCTTTTCCAGGGGCGGCCCATCCTTCTTTAGAGCAGTTCAGATTTATTTAAGAGATTTCTCTGGCATTGAGTCCAGGTTGACCTTTTTGCAGGTTCTGTTTATTGTGCTTAGTTTTTCCTCATCTGTCCTTTCACACACCCTGCCCCCAAGTCTCACCTTGGTGTTAATGGGGTGAGAGCAGAGGTGTGCAGGCAGACCTGATTGTTAAATCATCAGTGTGTACGTTTACGTCTCAGAAATAGCTCCACATTTTGACTTATAGTTTAATTTGATTGTTTATGAAAGGGATGGAGAAAAAGTTAATAATGCAAATTAAATGTAAATGTGTATCCCAGACATCAGAGCACTACTTGCTAAATCTTTACCAGATAAATCTTTAGCAGATCCCTGGGTGAAAGGTACTTTTTATCTTCCCTTATGGAAAAAGCCAGCGTGTAGGTAGCTCTGGGGTCAATGGGATGATTTCCCTTCTGGCCCTAATCTTATGTGATCCTAACCAGACTCCCAGCTCACCACAACCAGTGCCTCTATTTGGTAGTGTCCCGGTAGCAAGGACAAACTTTTCTGTTTCCTTTTCCCATCAGGAAGATGTCATCAATACTCAATGTGGATATGATGCCAGGCAAAAACCAGTAAGTAGAATTTCTTGTTGTTCCTGCCTAGCAGTAAGACTTTTTTTTCTTTTTTAAACAACTGGATATTGGAACCATAAGAGTATCTGTGACACTCTTCTTTCCTCATCTTTTGTCAAGGAGGTCGATCAACAGATTGTAATCTACACAAAAGGCTGTGTGCCCCAGTTTGAGAAGTGGCTACAAGACAATTTAACCATAGTGGCTGGTATTTTCATAGGCATTGCATTGCTTCAGGTAAGTAAGACATCGTTAGCCAAGGTTGCCCATCTTGTTGAATTGTTATGAAGCGCTCCAAGTGGAAATGCCCTCCACTGGTCTAGTTATACAGCTCTTCGGGAACTTCTAGATTTGGACAATTGCTTGGGGCACTAGGAAGTTAAGTGACTTGCCCATGCTTGCCTGACTAGTTAGGTGTCAGAGGCTGGATTTGAACCCAGGTCTTTGGATGGATTCCAACCTTCTAGCTCTTTTGAACAATGTTACAAGGGGCCCTCCCATGCAAAGCTAGAAGGAGATAGCTCCTTTAGTCATTTCTGATTTCATTCTTTTAAACTAGAGGCAGGAGATCTAGGGAAGTAGTTGGAGGACATTAATTTTTATATGATTTAACCCTCATTTTTAGAAGATATTGCTTTAGCCTGTTACTTACTGCCAGTGCAGGTATTTTATAAACCTAGGTCTGTCCTGATTTAAGAAAGCTCAAGGGAATGAAAACCCAGACAGATAGAACCACCAGGTGGGCAATTTATTCATATTAAACATGGAATTTATAAAATGATTCCTACTAGGCTTGCTGTAAACATAAAGCTGTCCTCCTAAAATGCAATTCAGTTTACATATATTTTAGGAACTCCTCTTTTGAGTAAAGCAAGGTAAACTAGAACACATATTCTTCCCCCTGACAATTCAAATTTTTTTATTTTGGGGGGGGCAAAAAATGTCTTCAATAATCAGGATCAGATGTGTCAACTTTGAGCTGTTTAGAGGAAGAAAAAAAAGAGAATAAAAGGATGGTAAGTGCTGCCTCATTAAAATAACAGCAGCAAGCCCGGGCATTTTCTCAGTACAAATACTTTGTTTTTATGTTATATGTTTATATGTTATTTGGTACTTGATGTTTTGAGCAATCATTTGGTTCATGTCAATTCAAGAAGCATTTTTCAGGTGCTTTACTATGTACGAAGCATCACTAAGCACTAGGGATACAAAGGCAAAAACCAAATAGTTTTCCTGCCCACCAGGAGCTTACATTCAACTCGAGGGAAACATAGGACTTTACAAATATCTCATTTTATCCACACAACGACCCTGGGAGGTAGGTGGGATTATTTCCTCCATTTTATACATGAGGAAACTAAGGCAGACAGAGATTGAGTGACTTGCCCAGGGTCACATTGCTAGCATGTGCCTGGGGCCAGATTTGAACTCAGGTCTTCATCATTCCATGTGTAGTATCCACTGTGCTTAGCTTGTTGCTTTGAATCAGAAATCAGGTCAGGTCTCATAGGTGAGCGCTTGAGCTGAGCCTTGAAGGGAGTGAGGGATTGCAGAAGCCATAGTCAAGAAGACAGGTGTTGGGGGCACCAACTATGTGAAAGCACAGAGATGAGAGGCAAGTAGGCTAGTATACAAAAGCATGCTGAGGTGGAGGAGAGCCAGAGAGAGAGAGATAGACAGACACAGACGGAGAGAGAGAATATGTTAGAAAGGTAGGTTGGAGCCAGACCCTGTAGGGCCTTCAATGCCAAACAGCAGAGTTTATATTTTATTTATAAGAGGAACTACTTAAACAAGAGAGTGAGTGATTGAGTTGGATCCATGATGTAGAAATATCCATTCAACTGTTATACAACAAACTGTTGAGAGAATGGAGAGAGGGTGACCAGTTAGGAGGTTATTGGAACAGTCCATTATAGGTGCCTAAATTAGGTTAGTTGTGATGTGAGTGGTAAGGAGGGCCTAGATTCAGGAGATGTTGTGGGGGAAGAATCAGTAAGACTACGCATCTGGTTGGGGTGAATAAGATGAAGAGTTGATAAAAAAAATATTCCTAGATTCTTTTCTATGTATATTCTATCTCTTCAAGTAGATTGTAACTTCCTTTGAGGGCAGGGACTTGTTTCGTCTGGGCAGAATTTTTTGACAGTCCAGGGTCACCAGCATACCCCTATAAGGCATTGGAAGAGAACTTTAGTAGAAGTTTTAAGGATGGGCCTAATGAAAACTGTTTGTTATCCTAGGACCAGTCTGAATTTTCTGTGAGTCTTTTCATTGGTTGGTGGGAGGGTGAGTCATATTTGAGTCACAAGAATTGTAGATCCTTGGAATATTGAAGTGTCCCCCTCACCACCCCACTTCTGTCTCCCCACCAGTGCCTGGTCCATCAGAAGTCTTGATACAGTGGGTATAATATGTTGATAGATTCACTACATGCCTTGCCCAAGTTGGAAAGTTAAGTCTTGTTTGGATATTACTTAGTTATATTTGCTGATTAGCTCAAAATATATAAAAAGTACCATGGGAATCCTAATAAGAAATGATAGATTTTGGCATGCATGGCAATAAAAAAAATAGTACATTCACCAAATAATCACTTAAGCTTCAGGCATAAATTAATCGGGATCTATGGAGCAACACTCAGGTGACAATAGAGATGTGATCTGCAAGTTTGCCTGCTTTGCTATAATTATTGCCTATATAGATGATGAAATTTTTCCTAATGATAGAATAGCTAATCAGGCACTTTCGGTATTTGTCTGCTAGTAATGTTAAAATTACCCCCTTTTTAAATTGCAACTTTTAAATTGCAATTTTAAATCAACAACACACATTTCAATGTACTATAGGGTTTTTTGTTTTTTTAAAAATCTATTTTAACAGAATAATGAATAGCACCATTCATTTGTGTCCCCTTATGTATTTTTTTTTTTGGTACCATACATTTTAAGAAAATGGTTTATTAACTGTGCATGCTTTTTGATCCAGCAATACCACTGCTAGGTCTGTATCCCAAAGAGATCATAAAAAAGAAATCCACATGTACAAAAATACTTATAGCAGCTCTTTTTATGGTAGCAAAGAAATGGAAATTGAGAGAATGCCCATCAATTGGGGAATGGCTCAACAAGTTGTGGGATATGAATATAATGGAATACTATTGTTCCATAAGAAATGTTGAGCAGGCAGACTTCAGAAAAACCTGGAAATACATGAACTGATGCTGAGTGAAATGAGCAGAACCAGGAGAACATTGTAAACAGTAACAACAACATCGTGTGATGACTGACTTTGATAGACTTAGCTCTTCTCAGCAATGCAAGGATCTAAGACAACCCCAAAAGACTCATGACAGAAAATGCTATTGACATCCAGAGAAAGAACTATGGAGTTTGAATGCAGATCAAAGCATACTATTTGCTTTTTTTTTTCTTTCTCGTAGTTTTCCCCTTTTGTTCTGCTTCTTTCACAATATGACTGATGTGGAAATATGTTTAAAAAAAAAAGAAAATGGTTTATTAATGATTTTGTGGTCCTGTTTGTCACTACCCACTAGCTTTCCCTTTGCCTGCCATCACCACCCCCTCCTTGTTCCCATGGAAACAAAACAGCACATTGGCCATGTTTGAAAATGCATCATTTTGAATTTCTGTTCAGTTACCTTTCTTTCAAGATGTGAGGTATGTTTTGTCATCAGTCTTTTCAAGTCATTTGTTGCTGCTCTGATGACAGTTCTGAGGCCTTTCTAAGTTGTCTCCCTTCATGAAATTGGTGTCATCATGCAAATTCTTTTTATTTTCTTGCTTATTTCAATCTGCACCAGTTTGTTCTTCTTCCTGCATTCTTCCAGATCCCTCATTCCACTCTTCTTATGTTGTAATAATATTCCATCACATTCCTGTACCATAACTTGTTCAGTGGTTCTGAGGGGCACTGATTTGACTTCTAGTTCTTTGCTGCTACTAACAGTTCTGTTTTAAATATGCTTGTATATATGGGTTCTCCACCACCACCACTCCTTGCCCCCTGTTCTTGATTTCCTTGGAATTTTGGGATACCAAATAGAAGTTTCAATGGCTCCAAAGAGTGTATGCCATTTAGTGGCTTTCTGACTATAGTTCCAAATTATTTTCCAGGAGGGTGGAACCAATCACAACTCCACTAATCATTCATTACTGTATCTGTTCTCCCACAGTCCTTCCAGTGATAGATGTTTACATATTTCGCCATCTTTGCCAATCTTATGGGAATGAGGAAGATGCTAGTAGTTTGTTTTTATAATGGCAAACAGATAAATTCATCTGAAAGCTCATTTTGGGAAAAAAAAAATTAAGCTATGTTGAGAAGAGGAGAGATGCCCCTCTTCCTGGGTTGGATGGGAGGCTAATACCAACTGGCAGGAAGAAGGCAGAGAGCTGCTCAATTCTTTATATTGCTTCCATTTTCTCTGCCAAGGAAGATGATTTTTGGATTGGAAAGTACTGAGGGAAAAGAGCTAATAGAGAGTTGATACATAAATGAGAAAGTACTGAAATGGCACCTCGCTGTTCTTGATGAGTTTATGCTACTGGTCCAGATGAAATGTGTCCTGGGGCACTGAAAGAACTAACAGATGTGAGTGTGGAGCCACTGTCAGTGAGATTTGAAAGGTCCTGAAGAATAAGAGGGATATAGAACATGTTATTAAAGAGATAGTACTGAACATCTCTGAAATGATGATCACAAACATTCCACATGACTTCATCAAAAACTGGTCCAGTCAATCTAAATCCCTTCCTTTCTTCCTTCCTTCTTCCCTTCTTTCAATCCTTCCTTCCTTCCCTCCTTCTTTCCCTCTCTCCCTCCCTCCTTCCCTTTTTCCCCTCTCTCCTTCCCTTCCTCCCTTTCTTTTCCTTTCCTTCCTTCTCTCCTTTTCTCTTTCCTTCCCTCTTCCCTCTTTCCTCCCTCCCTCCCTTCTTTCTCTCCCTTCTTTCAATCCTTCCTTCCTTCCTCCTTCCCTCTTCTCTCTTCCCTCCTTCCTTCCCTCCCTCCCCTTTTCTCTCCTTCCCTCCTTTCCTTTCTTCCCTCCTTTTCTCCTTTTTTCCTCTTCCCTCTTTCCTTCCTTCCTCCCTTCCTCTCTCCATTCCTTCCTTCCTTCTTTCCTTCCTTCCTCTCTTCTTCCCTCCTTCCCTCCCTTCCTTCCCTCCCTCCCTCTCTTCCTTCCTTCCTTCCTTCCCTCCTTCCTTCCTTCCCTCCTTCCTTTCTCCCTCTCTCCCTCTCTCCCTCCTTCTACAGGATTACCAGATTGATAGATTAGGGGAATACAATCTAGCTAACCTAGATTTTAAGAAAGCACTTGATGAAGTCTGTGGCATGATTCCTGTGCACAAGTCGGAGAGCTTTGGACTAGAGGAAAAAACAATTCAGAACTGGCCGAGTAGCTGGGGCCCAGAGCAGAGCCCCGAGTCATTCCTCTCCAGCATGGCAGGGAGGCCTCTAGTGAATTGCCTGATGATCTATGCTAGTCTGACATTTTCACCAATGATTTGGATAAAGCCTGAGCTGGCCGTCCACTCATCACATCTGCAGAGGGCACCAAGCTCTGAGGGATGGCTGCAACCCTCCGTGGCAGGGATGGTGCACCCACAGGCGCTGCAAGAAGTTTATCAAGGGAGTAGCAGCCAGGAGTTATTAACAGCTAGCATTTGTATAGTACTTTAAGGTTTACAAAGGATTTTAGAAATTGTATTTCATTTTATCCTCCCAATGGTCTTCTGAGGTAACTGCCATTATTATCTTTGTTTTATAGATATGGAAACTGAGGCAAACAGAGGTTAAATGATTTGCCCAGGTTCATACAGCTAGTGAGAGTTTGAGGCTGGATTTGAACTCGAGTCTTCTAGCTCCAGGTCTAGCATTCTGTTCACTACACCACTTAACTGCCTGTTTATGGGGAATATTTGGTAAATAGCTGTATTATCCTGTTGAAATTAATTCATCTTTTTATTTGTTCAAAGGCATAGTAAACTGTAGCGTTTTATTTCCTTTCATACTGAGAGATTTATAGGGATTAACCTCTGGTATAGAGGAAGGAGCTCTGGCCTGAGAGTCAGGAAATGGGTTCTAGAACTTTCTCCGCCATCATGGCATCCTAGGCTTAGAGTTGAATGGGATCTGAGGGATTGCTTCACTCTTTTCTTTGTATTCCCCAGCACCTAACACAGTGTCTGGCACATTGTCAGCGATTAATAAATACTGAGTGATTTTTTTTGATGGATCATCAAGTGTGACAGCTTTGTTTGCAGATGAGGAAAATAAGGTGACTGGCCCAAGGTCATACACCTTGTAAGTGTCAAAGCTGAGTCTAACCCAGATCTTCTAACTACATTCTTTCCCATATAATGTAGATAGAAATAGTTGGGCAAGGAGATGAATACAGTCAATCAAGTTAAATTTCACCTGCAAAAGTAGTTAACTAATTGAGCAAATTTACCATGCCTGATGCACAACAATTTGTGTGTATTTTTTTTTTTTTGCTTTGAGCTAAAATCTTCCCCAAATAACTAATGTATATTTTAATTCTGGATATTTGACTGAAATTAATTAATTATTAATTAAAATTTGAGTCCGTTTTCTTTTTTTTTTTGAATTTTTTTTTTTTACTTTTTCTTTGGGTTTTTTTTTTTTTTTGGTGTGTATGTGTGTGGGGCATTTGGGGTTAAGTGACTTGCCCAGAGTCACATAGCTAGTGAGTGTTATGTGTCTGAGGCCGGATTTGAACTCAGGTCCTCCTGACTCCAGGGCTGGTGCTCTTATCCACTGCACCATCTAGCTCCCCACCCCCCCCCTTTTTTTTTTTTGGCTTTTTGGTGAGGCAATTGGGGTTAAGTGACTTGCCCAGGGTCACACAGCTAATAAGTGTTAAATGTCTGAGGCCAGATTTGAACTCTGGTCCTCCTGACTCTAAGGCCAGAGCTCTGTCCACTTTGAGTCCATTTTCAAGGAACCAGCTGGTATTAATGTGAGTTATTCAGTCTAATTTCCCGTAACTCACTGTTGTTAAAGTACAACCTTTCTTAGTTTAAAAGATTCTTGGAACATGGAGGCATCATGGTACCCTGGAAAGAGTGCTGGCTTTGGAATATCAGAGGATCTGGGTTCAAATCATCCTTCTGTGTAACCTTGGCAAATCACTTAACTTCCTTGGGCATCAGTTTCCTCCTTTGTAAAATGAGAAGATTAGGCTAGGTGGCCCCTTAAGCTCTTCCAGCTGTAAAACTCTGATGCCATAAAGGGAAGCTGAGACCCCCAGAAAAGGGTTCGGTAAGGTGTTTCCACAGGTCAAAGAATATTGTCTTTAGTAGTTTGGTACTTTGGACAAATCACTTCCCTCTAGGTCTTGGTTTATTTACCTGAATAACGAAGAGGCTGAAATAGCTGATTTTTTTTCCAGCGATAATGTTCTATAATTCATGATGCTTGAGTTCCTTTGTAGCTCAGGGACTCTTCATTTGTAATCATTAAGCAATTCTGGAAGCATAATAATAATAATAGCATTTATGTAGTACTTTCAGCTCTGCAAAGAGCTTTTATGTGAGGTGACATATGACATGTCATTTGATCCAAAGTTTGAATGAACAGAACACGTGATAGGATATTAGAGCTATTAAAGGTGTTAGAGGGATGTTAAGTCCAATTTCTGTCTCTCTCTCTCTCTCTCTTCGTCTTTCTGTCTCTCTGTATCTCTCTGTCTCCCTCTGTCTCCCTCTCTGACTCTGTCTCTCTCTCTCCCTCTCCCTCACTCTGTCTCTCTCTGTCTGTCTCTCTGTCTCTGTGTGTGTGTGTCTCTCTCTCTCTCTCTCGGATTTGGCTGTGAGAATTGGCATTACCATCCTTTTTGTTTTTATTTTTTTCAATTAGCAAGCATTTTTTTCTTGCCATTCTCCCTCCCCCTCCACTCCTGAAAAGGAAAAAAAAAAATTGTAACAAATATTCATAGTCAAATAAAATAAATTCCCACCTGAGCTGTGTCCAAAAACATGTGTCATCTTCTGCATATTTACTCCATCATTTCTCTGTCTGGAGATGGGTAGTGTTTTTCACTATTGGTCTGATGGCTTTGCTTTCTCTCTATTGAGGGCCTAAAGCTAATATGGGGAGCTCCTGTCTCTAATCCTGGCCATGATAGAGCTGTACTTGACTGAATGTGAGAGGTTTTCCTTTTAAGATGAGTTTTAAATGAAAGGAAATGAAGAAAAGTCCCAGGAAACCCAATCATTCCCTCTGATGCTTTTGCTCTTTCTTCTTTTTCTAGATTTTTGGGATATGCCTAGCTCAGAATTTGGTTAGTGACATTGAAGCTGTCAGGGCCAGCTGGTAGAACTGCTGAATGAACCAACCGCTCTAAGACACTGGACTTCTGAGACCCTCCCCTGCCCCCAGTCTGCTATGCTGATGCCAAGCACCAACTCCACTGATGACGCTTGCAGTCTGCAGTCCCAATGGCTAACATTGCCATGAAATTGCTTCCGTGGGGGTGAACCTAGGGAGGGTTATTAGAACCTGCTGCTCACTGACAGATTTCAATTGAAAACAAAAAATGACCCATTTGAAAGCTGTTGAACCGTGCATCTACTGTAGCCATGGTTTGTGAACAGTTGGACACTTACCAAAAAGAAAACTCAAACAGATGTGCGTAAATTGAAACAGAATTACATTGTGATCTGTGGGAAATGCTGTTTTTTCTCTCCTTGTGTTATTTGAGGACTGTCAGAGGTGGTGAAAGGAGTTTTGTGTCTTCATCATACCCAGAAGGGACAGTCATTTTGTCCTCAGATGAAAGGAACTGCTATCTTTTCTAAAATGAAACCCCTTGACAAGGGGCAGTCTTTTTTTTTTTTTTTTTCATCTCCAACCATAAATATTAAGAAATTCTGAGAACCAAGAAGAAAAGAACTTGGGTCTTTTAAGTGTCCTGCTCCAGAATTGAACAGAGTCTTTAAATAACTTGTGAGAAGCATCACCTGCCGTTCCAGGTTCTTCCCCTTTTGCCAGGGAAGGGAATCAATATGACATCTGCACTGAGCCAATGAGTTGGAAGACTTCAGGGTGCCGTATCTTAGCTGAGCAATGTTCCTAAGCAAGCATGGGGTTTATTTCAAATGGAAATAGGAGAAGAAATTGTGTTAAATGAAATGGTGTTACCTAATGTTCTCCCGCCCCCCCCCCCCAAAAGAAAAATCTGTTGCTGTATTCTTTGGAAATTTCTGGAATACTCTTTATTTGGAGACTGGGGGCTAAGGCTTTGATACAAATCTCTTTTAAGTTTTCCTTTAAAACATTTTTTTTTCAGCTGAAACTTTGACTTTTCCTTTTTAATAATTCTTACCTGCATGAATTGTGACTTGAAATCCACCAGCCATTACTCCCTCCCTAATGTTCCAACACTCCCAGAAATATTTCAAACTGTAATTTGGTCAGAACTGACCCATGTTTTTTTTTTTTTAGTGCATGGCTGTGGGAAGTTCTGGCTCGTTCCCTGCATCCTCAAAGTGAAGGGATCAGCCTTGACACACGAAATGCTTCCAGGAACTCAGCCACACTGTCCCTGGGGTCCTTTCTCATGACCCCCCCCCAACTCCTTCCTTCCTTCCTTCCCCCAAATGCAATTAAATGCCAATGGGAAACAGCCCCAACAGGCTCAAAAGGCTTGTCTTCTTTTTTTTCTAATGGAAAAGAAAGAAATTGTGTGTGTGTGTGTGTGTGTGTGTGTGTGTGTGTGTGTGTGTGGTCTCCAGTTACCTCCGTCCTCTTTCAGGAGACTTAACAGCTAGAATGATAATGAAGCACAAGTGTCAGGAGCCAGGACTGCTGTCCAAGCCTGGAGGAAGAGCCCCATGACATTGTCTTGGTGCTGCCACCCCAACATGACCTAGTGCCAGTAAGAAGGCCAGAGAAAGCCCCCCGGCTTCCATCCAGCAGTGTCTTGTGTAGGTGTCTATCAGGGCATTTCTCCCCCGGCAGCAGGGATGCTGCAGGTGCCAGGGGCCTCTCCTATAGCATGCCGTCATTCCAGATTGCCATTTGGCCAGTGCACTTTGGAGAGAGATTAAGCTTGCGTTTTTTCCATTTTGCACCCTACCCTTCCCCATCCCAGCTTGGGTGTGATCCATTTTTGAAAGAGGAAAAACAATGCTCCATCTACAACCTTCTTCTAAATAGTAATCTATTCCATATTTTGGGTGTGGGTATGATTGTGCATGTGTATGGGTGTCTATCTGTACTTGTATAGTTAGATAGAAAGGTTCATTTCATGTCCTGGTGATATATGATGGCCTTAGCCTATCTCCAGCCCCCAAATTATAATTTAGTGGCATCATCCCCTGGCGGTGAAGACTTGAGCTCTCCAAGTTGCACTTTTGCCTTTTTTCCATTAATTACCTCATGAGCTCCATTTGACCTTTAGACTCCTTGTCAGGCAACGTCCCTACCCTTCAGAGAATGCTGCAAAAGACCAAGCGCAAGTCCACGTGAGCTTCTTTTTTTTAATCACCCATTATTTTTACACTCGGAAAGTGTTTGTAATAAATATCGTCCTTAATAAACCTGGTTCCACCTTTCCACAGTGTTACGTTTTTCTTCATCACATTCCCCTTATGAATCTGCAGTCCTTCCTTCACTTTCCCTAAGGGTGGGCTAGAGGACGAGACAAGACCCCTGTCTTAGTTGTCATTGTTGTGGCTTCCCTGGAGTGAGGTCCAGAACCTGGGAGTTCATCGGAGAAGGGCAATCTAGAACCCAGCATGATTTCACGCATGGGTGGTGCGTGCAAGGACTCTCTTTCACTGAAGCTGGAAAAGAAGTAATTGAAACTGTTCAGAGAGTTTTTGCTTTGTTTTTTTGGAGAGTTGTAAGTATTTTCTTGGGCTCAGTCTTTTACTGCTTTGAGCATCCTGGTTAAAGCAGCCTTTCTTCACCCCACCGGTCCATGGTGCTAAGTGATCCAGCCCCTTACATAAAATGGGATGACTAATCCCACTTCTCTTTCTTTAACTGTCATTGCAGTGCCATGGTTACATTCTTTATACCTACTATTAATTAATGATTATTCTTCAGAGTTCTGGAGAGGCAATGTGATTTAGAGGAGAGAGAGCGGGCCTCCAACCCAGAAATCCCTGGGTTCAAGGCCAACCATGACCTCAAACTGGCCCTGTGACAGTGGCCAAGTGATTTAACACTCCTAGCTACTCTCTTAAGACTAAAAAGGTGATGACCTGCATTTATAAAAGAATCGTGCTCAAAGAGGACCAGTCCCTATTCCTATTTATAGCTCTACTGCCTGTTTTTCCCCTCCTGCAGATTCTAACAATGCTTTCCCAAGAAGTTTCTGAGATGTAGGTCAGCTGACCTTTTCTTGCTATGCAAAATATATACACTTGCATTAGCTGGGGGATGGGATGGAAATATTTTAGGAGTGAGCTTATATTGGCTAGCTTATGCAGATCCACTCAAACCCTGTTTCCAGCCACAGTGAATAGAAGCCCCATGAAATCTATGGCCAAAGACAATGGAAATATTGAATACTGGTGACCTAAAAGGTCCTTCTTAGCTCTTTGTTTTTGGATTTCATTTTGAGGAACGCTTCTCTAGGGAAATGCTGTTTAGACCTCTGAAGAAGACCTGGGCACTTCTCCATGAAAACTGGCCAGTTGAATTTCATTTCTGGCACCCTTCTTTAAGGCAATTGTAGGGTGGTAGTGGTATTTGTTTCCAAGGCCTTTCTTTCTCTGCTGGTGGGAAGCCAAGTACTTTGAGCCCCAAGGGAAGTGCTGTGTGTTGGTCTTTCTGTGTTCATAAGGAGAAAAAAATCCATACACAGTCTACAGGTAACAATAAATGAAGCAGTTGGGTGGAGGATGCAGAGTACTTTAGATGATCGGTGATAGGCAGGCAATAGATTCTTCCAAATCGATAACCATTTTCTAGCTGCCTATCCTTTCCCCCCCTCCCCTTTTTTGGTAGATTTTCTTGCTTGCTATTGTAATGAGACCTTTAGAAAGCCTGATTTAAGGAGTTCATGAAATTAAAGATCACTTAGAGACATTTTATTGTATTAGTTCTTTTATTATAGTCCCTGCTCTGACGTGATGATGATTTCTCGTTTTATTGCTTGTTTAGCATTAAGTGCTTTATGGAAGAAGGCCTTCCTAAGTCAATACATGATGAGCTAGTCCTGAGTGCCCAATACGGGCCATAAACCATACCCCTCAAAGAACCAACATCAGCCATTGAAGTGAATCAGAAGGATGGGCAGGCTAGGCCAGGGGATTTCTCCTCTGTGTCAGTTCACTCTGCAAATAAAATGAGAACTTGCTGCTTCATTGCTCTTCATCCAGCTATGTCCTGGGGAGGCATGGAATTTGGTTTTGTTTTGTTTTTCCCCTGAAATAGGATAAGGTCTTTTCTGAGCTTGAGTTGAAATAAGAATGCTTTATTGCCCTGCCCTCTCGTGTCCACAGTGGAGAATTACATGCGACTGAACTAAAAAGACATTACAGAGGTGTGGAAACAATTCATGGGGTTGGGGATTTGAGTCCTTGACCTCATAAGCTTTGGGAAGCACTAATTTGTATGAGAGGGGGGGGCCTAGATTTTATGTTTGGGAGAAACTCTTTTTCTATTCTACTCTTCGTTGGTGGCTTAGAGTAGATCAAGATGGGCTTCCAGAATCTGTTACCTTTTTTTTTTTTTGTAATGTTGCAATTAAGAGAGCTAATATTTCTTGTTATTGAAAGGTCCAGAGAAAACATCAGCTCTTTTATTGGGTCTTTTGACTTTGCTGTGCTTACACCTGCTGCTGCTGCTGCTGCTGGGACTTCATGAGGTCACTGCCTTTTGTATTTCTCAAAGCCCTCCCTAACCTCCCTCTCCCTCTTCTCCCAATATCCTAATTAGTTGTTGCATTAACTTTTGTAGCACTTTACAAAAGACCTTAGTGGAGGTCCCATTAAGATTCCTTGTAGACATTTGAGTCAAGAGTTTGAGGCTGTGCTGTGGCACAGACTAGCTGTGTAACCTTGGACAGATCACTTTATCTCTCCATCCGTTTTCTCACTTGTAAAAATGAGATAATAGGAAGGACCTACCTCACAGGGTTGTTGTGAGGAAAGAGTTCTCTAAGCCTCCAAGTGCTGTGTAAATTTGAGTGGTTATCTATTGGCTTCTGATGTTTCCTAAGGAAAGACAAAACAATGCATCGACTCACCCAGGGTGTGATGCCTCCACACACCCTGCATCGAACAGTATCAATCCTCCCGCTCAAAAACCACACACACACACATTTTTGTTGGGATTGGTGAATCAGCCTAAGAGGAAGAGACATTTGTGGAAGGGATTGAATGTGCTGGATTAATGCAGATTTTCATCTGGCTCCCTTTCCCAACCAACAATGCTTCTAGAAGAGTGGTGAGCTTCGCCGGGTGCCTTTTGTAGTTTGTTTTTTAAAATGCATTTCCATCACCTACATTTCCCAAGATTCCCTTCCCCTGGGATAGTCATGCCTTCTAAAGAAGAATAAAAACGAGGGGAAAAGAACAACCTGGCAAGTCTAATGCACATGCCAAGAGTGTCTGCCATTTTTTGTGGGTGCTCTTCAGCCAGAGGCTCCCCACACACCCCTGGAAAAAAGACAACATCGTTTTGTACACTAGTACAAGATCTCATCACTTCTTTCCAGGACTTGGTGTAATAGCTTTCTAATTGGTCTCCCTAAATCGAGTCTCTCTCCTCTCTGATACAACCTTCCTGCAGCTGGCAAAATACATTTATTCATGCACGGGTTTGACTGAGTCACTCTCCTGTTTGAAGCTTTCAACGACTGCAGGATTTCCTGGCATCTAAAGCCCTCCCCAGGCTGCCGGCAGCCTTCCTTTTCAATCTCACTCACCATTGCTACCCTTCACAGATTCTTCCTTTTAGCAATGACTGGCAATTCCTCGATATTAGAGGTTGTTCCCTCTGCCTGCAACACACCCCAACCACATTTCTACCTGTTGAAACACTAACCTCTCAAGGTTCAGTTCAGGTGCCACCTTCTCCAGTCAAACTTCCTTGATCTCAGAAAGATCTTTCTTTTCCTTCCTTCCTTCTTTTTCTTTCTCTTCCTTCCTTCTCTCTTTTTCTTTCTTTCTTTCTCTCTTTCTTCCTTCCTTCCTCTCTCTTCTTCTTTCTTTCTCCTTCCTTCCTCTCTTTCTCTTTTCTTCCTTTTAAAAAAATAACTCTTTGTATGAACCTCTTACCCTATTCTTCTGTCTCATATGTACCTGTGCATGTGTCTTCTCCTTTCTATTAGACTATAAACGTGGACAGCAGGGCTGATGTCCTTTTCTTCACTTTTGTATGCCCACTTAATAAATGTGTGTTGAATGCTTTTGAATATGTTGACTATATCCTCCGGTTGTTGCTTTAATTTGTGAATTTGCAAAATGGATCGTAAAAGCAACAAGGCTGTTGGAGGTACTGCTAAAAGTGGATTGCATGTCACTAGAGTGTGTACCTGGAGTCTTGGGAGGCTGACCAGTTGGCTCTCTTCAGTGGAACGCAATGAAAGTAGTGGGAGGGCTAATGACAGACATAGCCCATGGAATAATTAGATTATATGTGGGATTTTGTCCTCTGTGATTTAAATGGATGGAATGGAAGCTTTACATGGAGAAGGCCATGTTCACACTGCTTCTTACTGTTCATTTTAAATGATCAAAAAATGGTCTTAATGCCATTTGTGAGGTTTTTTAATGGGTGACTTTCTAAGGAATGTTTTATTAAATTTATGATGGAAATCATTTGAATAGTTGTGCAGTATTCTGTATTCACTTGAAGTAAATAATTTTATATGCAATTTGTTAGCAACTGAAAATTTTATAAATAAAATGGTCAAATATTCACATGGTGAACGCTTTCTTTTGTACAGTGATATGATGATGCTTCTAGTTCCCATACTATTCTAGGAGCTGTGCAGGATACAGAAGAAAGCTAAGATTTGGTTCCTGCCCTCAAAGAGCTTACATAATTCAATCAAAGAAATAAAACAATGGGTCAGCTAGGTGGCCCAATGGATAGAGCACCAGCCCTGAAGTCAAGAGGACCTGAGTTAAAATGTGACCTCAGACCAAACACTTGACACTTACTACCTGTGTGACCCTGGGCAAGTCACTTAACCATTATTGCCAAAAAGAAAGAAAGAAAGAAAGAAAGAAAACAGACACACATGAAACAGTAGAAAAAATGAGAAAACAGTTCTCAAATGATGCAGTCTGGATTCAAGTTCAAAGAAGGGAGAGATGTGTGGGGACTGGAGTAATACGGGAAGGCTTTATAGAGGAGGTGGATGTGAATTTGACTTCACAAAATATTACTTGGCAGAAGGAAAGAAGACATTTGTCGGGAAGGGGATGGGGTCTGGGGGAAGGGTAGGGGAGAAAAGAACACAGACTGAGCAAAAGCACAGAAGAGAGAATTGGGAGGTGACCAGGAGTAGGCCAGACAGCCTGGAGCTGAGATAGATATGGAGAGTTAGACTATGAAAGGTATAGAAGAAGAAAATTAATTAATTAATCAATGT